GTGCTTGGTCACCGCCAGATTGCGGAGCTCCATCATGGCCGGTCGCGGCACCTGTTCTGCCGCTGTCGCTAGCTCGCCCCACGCGAGCACTTCCGCCTCGGAGAACTCGCCGGCTTTGCCGGGCTGGCGCAGAGTGAGCTTGAAGAGGCGATCTTTGTCGTCTGTCGCGCGGGAGAACCCACCCGTGACTTCTGCGCGAACATTGACGAGGCCATCTTTCCAGCAAGCGGCCTGGTGCAAGGGCGTGCAAGGCATGCCGGCCGGCAGCTCCAGCGGCGGCGTGGTCTCCTCTTCGACTCCGGCGCCTTTGTCAAAGCGAACAAAGAGGTCGCACTGGCTGTGCGTGTACTTGGCTTTCGAGGCCTGCCGCCTGCTCAGCGCGATCTGCGTGAGGCTGACCACGCACGAAGCCTTCAAAAGAGAGGCAGCGGGTTCGGCCAGCTCGCGCCACGCCTCGATGGCGATGACGTCGCGAGCCGCGTGGCCGCAGACGAGGTAGCACCCGAAGCGGGCGTTGGGCACGTGTTCTACTTCCACGAGGCGTCCAAGCAGTCGCTTAGCGCCGTCTAGCCGTCCAGGCTGCGTCAGCTCGGACGGCCTGACAACCATGGGCCGCTGGCCCGCGGAGGCCATGGCGCCCGCAATCACACGGCCGACCGAAGCGTCAAGCCGCGGGTCCGTGGCGCCCGCAATCGCACGGCCGACCGAAACGCCAAGCCGCGCTGCAACTACCGAAAGCAGTTGTACTCGAAAATGCATGCGTGGGTGCGTGTGCTTGTTGTGCGTGTATATGTGTGTGTGTGTGTGTAGAACCTGCTCAAGACACGACAGTGCCTATGATTTGGAGCCGATCGGAGCGCAGTGAACCCCCCGAGTCACACAACCAGCTTTCCAGAGTTCTGCGCATCTGTCTATTTATGCTCTCTCTCTCTCTCTCTCTTTCTCTTTTTTTTTGTTTCTCTCTCTCTCTCTCTCTCTCGAACTCTATACCTGGCAAGCCACCCATGTCGGACCACAATCGCAAGACAGCTACCTGGCAACAGCTTCCTCCCCCCCCCCCGGTGGTGTAGGAACCTTCAGAGCCCTGTGACTGTGACACCCTGTGGCAAAAAGGAACAAGTCTTACAACAAGCCTCACCAAAGCGGCCCCAGCGCCAAGCGCGTCCGTCGGTGCCAGCATCCGTGCTGACACGTAACTACATTTGAGCCAACGTTTTCTGCATCTTCCCATCCCCCAGCTCGCAGAGAGTGGACGCAGCACCTTGCGAAAGTGCTGCGCCTGCCACGAAATCGATACTTGACCTTGCAAAAGTGCTGCGCCTGCCACGAAATCTATACTTGACCTTGCGAAAGTGCTGCGCCGTCGCAGCCGAGGTGGTTTGCGCATTGTCCGGAAGCCCAATTCACGCACAGCGCCAACGTTTTCTGCATCTTGCTATCCCCCAGCTCGCAGAGAGTGCTTGCGAAAGTGCTGCGCCTGTCACGCAATGCAAACCTTGCGAAACCTTCGCGCGGCCGTGCCAATGGGCCCGTCTCCGCACCCGTTCCGAGACCGTTCCGAGACCGCCTCCGTACAGGCGTCGCAGCCGAGGTGGTTTGCGCATTGTCCGGAAGCCCAATTCACGCACAGCGCCAACGTTTTCTGCATCTTGGCATCCCCCAGCTCGCAGAGAGTGCTTGCGAAAGTGCTGCGCCTGCCACGAAATCGATATTTGACCTTGCGAAAGTGCTGCGCCTGCCACGAAATCTATACTTGACCTTGCGAAAGTGCTGCGCCTGCCACGCAATTCAAATTCCCTTGCGAAACCTTCGCGCGGCCGTGCCAATGGGCCCGTCTCCGAGACCGTTCCGAACCCGTTCCGAGACCGTTCCGAGACCGCCTCCGTACAGGCGTCGCAGCCGAGGTGGTTTGCGCACAGTCCGGAAGCCCAATTCACGCACAGCGCCAACGTTTTCTGCATCTTGCCATCCCCCAGCTCGCAGAGAGTGCTTGCGAAAGTGCTGCGCCTGCCACGAAATCTATACTTGAGAAAGCTATCTACGTGTTAAGCTGGCTATATGTCAAAGCTATCTATCTGTCATGCAAGCCTATTGGAAAGCTATCTATCTGTCAAGCTAGCTATATGTCAAAGCTATCTATCTGTCATGCAAGCCTATTGGAAAGCTATCTATCTGTCAAGCTAGCTATATGTCAAAGCTATCTATCATGTCTAATCTGTCTAGCTATATGTCAAAGCTATCTATTTGTCATGCTAGCTACCTGTCATAGCTATATGTCAAAGCAGCTAGCTCATTTAGTTCCAGTACAAGTAAGGTCCGGCAGAGCCGGGGGGCGGAAGTTTCAAAGCAGTGAACAACTATAGTTTGGAGAACTGTCCTTGGCCCCTTGCTTCTCTCTCTCTCTCTCTTTTTCTCTCTTTCTCTCTTTCTCTCTTTCTCTTTCTCTTTCTCTTTCTGTTTCTCTGTCTCTTTCTCTCTCTTTCTATCTATCTCTCTAGCTATCTCTATATCTGTTTATTGATCTATCTATCTACCCATCTTTCTCTGCACTTAAAAGTTGCGATGTTCAATCCCCGAAAGTTGACTTCGCGTACTACTTTCGTACTTAAAAGTTGCGATTTTCGAGCCCCAGCTGCGAAACTGGACTTCACGTACTACTTTCGTAATTAAAAGTTGCGATTTTCGAGCCCCAGCTACGAAAGTGGACTTCGCGTACTACTTTCGTACTGAAAAGTCGCGATTTTCGAGCCCCAGCTGCGAAAGTGGACTTTGCGTACTACTTTCGTACTTAAAAGTTGCGATTTTCAAGCCCCGGCTGCGAAAGTGGACTTTGCGCACTACTTTCGTACTTAAAAGTTGCGATTTTCAAGTTCCAGCTGCGAAAGTTGACTTCGCGTACTACTTTCGTACTTAAAAGTTGCGATTTATCTATAGATCTACCTATCTATCTACCTCTCTATCTCCTATCTATCTATCTACCTCTCTATTTATTTATCTCTCTATCTCTTTATCTATCTAGCTAGTCACTGGTCTACCTAGCCACAAATCTATCTATCTCTGTCTATCTCTGTTTCTCTATCTCTTTCTATCTATTTCTCTAGCTATCTCTATATCTGTTTATTGATCTATCTATCTACCCATCTTTCTCTGCACTTAAAAGTTGCGATGTTCAATCCCCGAAAGTTGACTTCGCGTACTACTTTCGTACTTAAAAGTTGCGATTTTCGAGCCCCAGCTGCGAAACTGGACTTCACGTACTACTTTCGTAGTTAAAAGTTGCGATTTTCGAGCCCCAGCTACGAAAGTGGACTTCGCGTACTACTTTCGTACTAAAAAGTCGCGATTTTCGAGCCCCAGCTGCGAAAGTGGACTTTGCGTACTACTTTCGTACTTAAAAGTTGCGATTTTCAAGCCCCGGCTGCGAAAGTGGACTTTGCGCACTACTTTCGTACTTAAAAGTTGCGATTTTCAAGCCCCAGCTGCGAAAGTTGACTTCGCGTACTACTTTCGTACTTAAAAGTTGCGATTTTCGAGCCCCGGCTGCGAAAGTTGACCTTGCAAAAATGCTGCGCCTGCCACCAAATCTGTGCTTGACCTTGCTAAAGTGCTGCGCCTGCCACAAAATCTGTACTTGACCTTGCGAAAGTGCTGCGCGTGCCACGAATTTTGCACTTGACCTTGCGAAAGTGCTGCGCCTGCCACGAAATCTATACTTGACCTTGCGAAAGTGCTGCGCCTGCCACGAAATCTATACTTGACCTTGCGAAAGTGCTGCGCCTGCCACGCAATTCAAACCTTGCGAAACCTTCGCGCGGCCGTGCCAATGGGCCCGTCTCCGAGACCGTTCCGAACCCGTTCCGAACCCGTTCCGAGACCGCCTCCGTACAGGCGTCGCAGCCGAGGTGGTTTGCGCACAGTCCGGAAGCCCAATTCACGCACAGCGCCAACGTTTTCTGCATCTTGCCATCCCCCAGCTCGCAGAGAGTGGACGCAGCACCTTGCGAAAGTGCTGCGCCTGCCACGAAATCGATACTTGACCTTGCGAAAGTGCTGCGCCTGCCACGAAATCTATACTTGACCTTGCGAAAGTGCTGCGCCTGCCACGAAATCTATACTTGACCTTGCGAAAGTGCTGCGCCTGCCACGAAATCTATACTTGACCTTGCGAAAGTGCTGCGCCTGCCACGCAATTCAAACCTTGCGAAACCTTCGCGCGGCCGTGCCAATGGGCCCGTCTCCGAGACCGTTCCGAACCCGTTCCGAGACCGTTCCGAGACCGCCTCCGTACAGGCGTCGCAGCCGAGGTGGTTTGCGCACAGTCCGGAAGCCCAATTCACGCACAGCGCCAACGTTTTCTGCATCTTGCCATCCCCCAGCTCGCAGACAGTGCTTGCGAAAGTGCTGCGCCTGCCACGAAATCTATACTTGAGAAAGCTATCTACGTGTTAAGCTGGCTATATGTCAAAGCTATCTATCTGTCATGCAAGCCTATTGGAAAGCTATCTATCTGTCAAGCTAGCTATATGTCAAAGCTATCTATCTGTCATGCAAGCCTATTGGAAAGCTATCTATCTGTCAAGCTAGCTATATGTCAAAGCTATCTATTTGTCATGCAAGCCTATTGGAAAGCTATCTATCTGTCAAGCTAGCTATATGTCAAAGCTATCTATCTGTCAAGCTAGCTATATGTCAAAGCTATCTATTTGTTCTCCGTGCTACCTGTCATAGCTATATGTCAAAGCAGCTAGCTCATTTAGTTCCAGTACTACGGAAGTTTCTTGTTAAACTTCCTTTGACTACGGAAGTTTCTTGTTAAACTTCCTTTGATAATTATATATATAATGCTGAGCCTGTCATGCCGTGTACCATACAAAACTGATGTTGGTGCCACGCGAAAGAACCTTGCTCTGGTAGCCCTAACCGAGCTCCTTCCAAAAGGGTTACGAAAGCAGCACGGAAAAGATCTCCGTGGTCCTGATGCATCTCTCTGAGCCCATCGCCATCGTGCCCTGCCTGCCAGTCGAACATTCCGGGGTCTTGGGGCGTTCGCAGAGCAAAAACAAAACATGACGCGGGCAATCTTGGACTCTTGTCCTCGCTAATCCAGAGGACCACAAACACAAAGAGCGAGAGAGAGAGAGAGAGAGATAGACAAGCAAGCAGTCAAGTGTTCCGCATGTGTTAGCGACACAAAAGAACAAATCCGGTGTGCTGAAATGGTTGCTAGCTCGCCTCAGCTTGAAGAAGCAACTTGTCAAACTCCTCCATCTCATCCTGCAAGAGCAAAAGTGACCCCTCATGGCGGGTTTTGTGCCAACACTCCATGCGCAGTCCACCAGGGGTGGCGGCGGCAGCACTTTGACAGGGGCTGCTCGAACCATCGGCATCCTCAGAGAGAGGGAGAGAGAGAGAGAGAGAGAGAGAGAGAGAGAGAGAGAGAGAGAGAGAGACAGAGCGGGCAAAGATGTCCAAGCCACGAATCGCCATCAAACTCTCAGCCTAAGTAGCTGACAACACCGCACCTGAGTTCCAAGGCAAGCTAGAGCAACGCTCAGCAATGGATGAGCAAAACACCTGTCATATTGAACAGCTGATGGTTGGTTGAGGTGTTCTAGGAAAGTATCGCAGCCTTTCAAAGTGCCACATGCTTGGAAAAACGCGCTCAAGCCTGAAGCTCTGTGGCTCTCTGGCTCGACCCCACATCAATAGCATGCAGGGTCATGTGAGAAATGTGTTGGTGTTTCAAGGTTGGAAACACGCATCCGGCTCAAGCCGTCGGTTTCCTGATGCCATCATGTACCGTACTAGTTGCTTGGAGCTGCCATTGTTCAGGACACAAATATTCAGATACTTATGTTCCATGACCGTTGTAATGAGATACGCTTGCTCACAATATTCACCATGGCTCGCAGCGCTGAGAGCTTCCCAGCTGAGCTCAGAACCAGAAGGCTCCTCGAAGACACCTGCCAAGGACACAACTTCTCAGGCTCTCGACCATTGACTCATGACCACAGATTGCCCTTCCCATGTGATTCGCCTTCCGCAACCAAAATGTGCAAGCTTGTGCCCCATCGCCCCCTGGCCTGGTTCTGGAGCCGGCAAGGCCAGCAACCCGGGAGGACTTTGGCTCCTCTCCTGGACCTCCACACCTGGGGTAAGCAGAAAAATCCCACAAGCAGCGCACAGCCACAAGCCGAATGCACAGAGCACAGCCGCTTGTTTCACCCAGCGGGCCAGCAGTCGAGATATTTATAGTCGGCCACAAACTTGCCCAGCCATTGCCAGAGTCGGCAAGCTGCAATGGTCAGTGGGTGTCAGGCGCAAACTGCCTTGCAGCATTGGACATATCGCATGTTAGGATATAGAATGGCTATGTCAATCACTATTGTGCAGATCTGCTGACAGCCCACTGAGTCAAAACGGAGGCACCTGTCGGAATGTCTGCCTTTCACAAGCTCATATGCTTCCCAAGCTCAAGACTTGAAGTCATGCTGCACCAGAGCTGTCACCTCAGACGGGCTTGATCCTGAAGTGCAGGCCGATCAGACTGAAGACGAAGCACTTCAGATCCTGGACAAGGTAGTAGAAGACCCGCAGTCCCTCTGGATCTTTTGAAGCCTGCACATCAGCCAGCGAGCCGATCTTCGACGTTGTGAACGAGATATGTTCCTTGCCACAGACCACCTCAAGTTCTTGGCGGCCAATGCGGTCCGGGGCCGGCCAGTGGTTGTCATCCTCCTTCAGGATCTCGCTGTCCTCAATCATCTTCCGGAGCTCCTTCATCACAGCTGAAGTCGCGTGAGCCTCCTTGCGGATCATCACATCGTTCTTGTAGTTCGAGTTGTTCGCATAGCGCAAACGTCCATCTGGTCGGAACTCGAACTCCAGGAATTCATGCCCGAACTTGCCCTTGTGGCCGACGTAGTAGCGCACGTAGAAGTCCTCCTCCTCGTGAGCCATGATTGCCAACTGAGTTCCGACTAACTTGTTTTGTGGCTGAGCCTAGACTGCTCTTGGCGCGATCCATGTTGAAGTGACCACATGCGACAGTCACACAAGCCAATATTCAAGCGTTTTTCAGTGACATGATATGAGCCACGGTGTGGATTGTTTTGTCCCCTACTGAGCATTCCGCACTGCTGCATTAAGAATCCAACTCGGTGGCACCCAGGCGCCAGGAGTAGGTCCTTCAGATGCAACGGCCTCAGCTGAACTTCGGGTGATCATCCAAGCGGTGTTTTCCGGTGCAGAATGTCCAGCTGGAATGCTCAGACAGGTGCGGAGCGCGGGGGCTCAGGAGGCGCCCATCCAGGTGCAGCTTGTGCCCAGTACACAGCCTCTGTCGCGGATGTCTTTCTCCCGGCGAAACTCGCAGAGTCCCAAACCAAATCGTGTCAACTCTTGCAAACGGCAAGAGTGCAGGTACGTCTTCCGTACTACGGAAGACCTTGTTGGTGGTGCGTCAAAAGGAAATGTAATATGGAACCAGCTAGTCAGAGCGGGTTTATTTGGGAGACGAAACCTGAGTGGTGGACAAATCTCTAGCAGCGTTCTATCTCAGGCAGCAGCAGGCGGTGGCAGGCCATAGCCAGACTGCCAATTCCTGATCGAAAGGGAACACAGCTCAAAGTGCCCTGAATCAGCGTCGCTCTTGAGGCTCCCGCCCGCGAGGAGTGTCATCCAGGACGGCCTTCGGCCGGCGGTCCTTGATCCCATGGGCGAGGAATGCTCACGCACTTTGTGCTGGATATGAGCCACTGTCTATGTTCTCTGTTGCCCCTTACATGTTCTTTTTGGTCTGCAACCCTCATTGGCTAATGCAACTTTGATGTGCACATGCTGATGAATATGGACCATATGCACCGCTGCTTTTCGAGCTCTTCAGCTTGCCAAAGCTGGAGCTCGCGATATTCATGCTGAAACAGCTAAGACTGTTGGCTCTTCAGGATTCCGGGCGTTACGACGGCTGCGGCTCCGGCTGCGGCTGGCACCATGCTTGCCAGTACCTCAGCGAGCTACGTCGCTCGCGGAAGGACTCCTGGCCCCTTGGGCACGCGTAACTATCCAAATGCGGTTTGCTTTAAAAGGGAATGGCTCAATACAGTGCAACCAAAGTACGCTTCCAAACGGAGGTCTTGCCACGGTTGCGGCAGTCTGCCCACACAATACCTTAGAGACGTGTTCAAGTGGGAAGACCATACAGCGGAATTGCCTAAGCGCTCTCCATCCAAGGCATCTGCGATCCTCTGAACTGTCTTCCAAGTCCAAGTCATAATGGCCTCGGCTGTCCCCTTGCGCTCCACGATTGTGTCTTGTAAAACGTCTGCGCCAATTTGGCAACTCTTGCCGATTCCAAGCTACTTGCACACATTCGACTCCGGCAAAGATCTCAGCTTCTGGCCGCACACGAAGCGGCCCTTGCCAACAGATTTCACATCCAGCCGGATAGGATCTCGACCTCTAGCGAGAAATATGCCACAAAATCATCGATTGCACTGCAGTGACACAGAAAGCAAGGCATCTCTCACTGCCCTTATCCCCTTGGCCCGGCAAGGCCTTTGCTAACATCTTCACCCCCCGAGTGCGAGTTTGGTACCAGCTGCTGGCCGCAGGCCAAATCGCTGGACTGTGATCGCTGGGCGCCCTCTGAGGCAGGGTGCATGCTATCACGGCGCTGAAAATGCAACGGTGACCCCAACTCACTTTAGCAAACGATGAAAGGCAGCAAGTGCGCGGAGGAACAGTGCAAGCAACTCTTCCAAGTGGCTTCCACTTGCACGCTTGCACGCATTGCATGGAAAGCAAGAAAGTACAGAAGTATTCGGCTGCAGTACGATATTTTCCGTCCTCTGGCTTAACCTGGTCCCCGATCCGCGGAACAATCTTGGTACACACATACAGCTCACAAAGCTGCTTGGCATCCCGTCATCTTGATGCGAAGAGTGCGTGCGACTTGCCGTGGAGCGCATGGGATGCTGTGCCCAGTCTTCGCCTTGTCCTCCAAGTGCGTCAGCTGCAAAGTGGATCCGCTCCACTGGATGCGTAGAGACTGCAGACACCGCAGAGCTCCGCTACGCTCCGTTTGCTTGTGCGCGCCGCATGGGCTTGCTGCCGAGTCTGCCCATGTTCATGCCAGAGATTTAGTTCCATACGGCCACTCTGACATTTCGCATTGGGGTCTCAAAACAGCCGAGCGTCAAAGTGCAACCTTCTGAGCCTGGCAAAAGCCTAAGCCTGGCGCCTGTTCCTTCTGCCAAATACTTTGTGCCAATGAATGTTCAATTGAGAAACAAACAAACCAAGGAGCCAAAACCATCCCACCAATTGGAGCAGCAAACCCAGCGCTGGTGACACCCCGACTACCCACAATGCCCCTCCAGGATTTCCTTCACACCCGGAAACCATCGGCAAGTCAACCATAGGATGGTCCCAAATCCCCTGAAAGACGCGCCCCACATACCTTCACAGCTGACACGGACTATTTTGAGACTCAAAAACAATCCGCATGCAGCGAAAGAGCGCTTTCGCCCTTCAAATTATCCTTCCAGGCACGTTGGTTCTGATCGGCTCTGACCTGTGCTTCGGTTAATCTTGAAGTTTCACCTCATGTTGCCTCCAAGTTGTTCCGAGATTGGATGACGTAGATAGAGATGCCTCAAGTTTAGACTGAGTGTAGGTTTCTGAGTGTTCATCTTGTGTGTTGAGGTTCCCGAGAAAGCAAATGCGAAACGGTAAAAATTGCGCATTTCCATAAATCCAAAACATGCGCAAAATGCTAGGCTATTCCAAGTTCAAAGGGCTGTGAAACTATGCTGGAAGTTTGGCTTCAGTCGCGGCTTGGCTTCTGGCTACTTCGCGGCTTGGAGAGGACGACACTGAGCCTGAGTATGCAGGCACTCTCAAATTTGGATGAGCCGTCAAGCAAAGAAGCAAAGCTTGTGCGATTCGTTGGTTGGGCCCATTCAAAAATATTCAAAAGTCATCGTTTCAGCCGAAGCTAAGGTCCTGGCTGTCCACCGCGGCTGCCAGGCTTTGCCCACTCCACAGTGACGTCGTTGCCCAGAGAGTCCTGCACACCGCCGCGGCGACCAGGATTGGCCGTCTGCTTTGCTGCAACTGGTTCAGATCGATAATATACCCCTTTTCTCTTTGAGGGTTCAAACAGCCGCATGGCACACAGTGGCGAACGACGGGATGAAACTGATAGCACCTTCCACTCGCCGAGGAAGGTCTCCAAATCGATAGCCATGTTCAACTAGGGATTGGATCGAGAAAGCGTTGGAGTCCAGAATTTCTGTGCGAGCTGCCACTGCGTCGAGCGCATAGATAGATTTCAAAGGCCGACGAGGCTTGGCTTTGCAAAAAAGATGTGGTGGTTTTGTGTTGGTGTACCGTACGTCGCACGTGCGCCAACGTCTGTGGATGCTCAAAACTATCCTTTCTGGCAGAGCACTGCATCCGCAAGATTCAGTGTGGAGTCCAGCTGTCCGCACGCGCTTGCAGCTGTCCGCACGCGCTTGCACTTTCAAACGGCTGCCAGTATCATGAATGCGTTCGAACGCCGTCTTCAAAACAAACACCCAAACACAAATGAATCTCTCCATGAGAGCGGGTTATTTCTTGGATGCTCTTGGCGCTGGAAGACTCTGCTTGCGGCCTGCTTGTAATCGCATAGCCTATGCCTACGTCGGAAGATGTCCAGGGCCGGTACCTCAGTTCCTTTGCTGAGTGCGGGCCATCGGAAAACATTGGGACAGGCGCCAGTCTCAGGCTCGCCTGTCCCAGAAAATCACATGGCGCAACCTCCCAAATTGGTCAGTCGGTGTGGCAGCTGGTTGAATTATTTGCGTTGCGCCCGTTGGAATCCTCTTGCTGCCAGGTGCACGCTTGTTTGTTCGAGTCTTCAAGCAAGTGTTGCTGAGTTGCTGTGCGAAGAAATATCGGGTGACGATCCCGAGCCAATAGACGCATGCCTGCTTCGCAGTCCACGCATCAGCAAAAGACCCTGCTTATCCAACCAGGAGAATCTCTGAAATGGATCAAAACTTTCGGGACACGTGGATTTGCCCCGAAGGCGGCACACGGTATTTGTTTCAGGCATGCCTAGTGCACAGCAACCATATCACAGCAAAGCCTCTCTCCGTTGAAAATGCACCTTGTCAGCGCAAATTGCACAAATGTTGAGTCAGTCCTATTGTGAGCATTGATTCCAAGCAGTGACTGAGTTCAGCGCGGCAGTGGCTCATCTTGCCTAGGCTCGTTTGAACATTTGTTTAATGCGGCCCGAAAGCTTTTACACCCCAACCTCCGTTGCAGGTCATCATAAGCCCCGCACCCACCACCTTGATGCGCATAATTCACATAGACCACATCTTCGATTTCCTGCAACTTCCAAAGAATGTAAGCTAAGCCGCACCTGTTGTTTGGGATACCCTCTCGCTCAGGTGCCGATTGCCGGTTCTTGCTTTGCAAGGGCCTTGCAATAATTCTTGAAGACGTGTCCATAGAGGTGGCAAGAGCTCCTGTCTGTCGGACTCGCTGCTTCATGGTGTCCGGCCTGCGGTTGGCCTCGCTTCTCGCAGCTGATCATCTAGCTCCGCACAGCCGGACACCTGACACATAGCTGCGCTCTCGGTCCAATATCGCTATAGTGAAAGCAAAACTGCAGTTCGCTATCAGTGGCTCATCGCTATCGTTTCCCAAGGCATCGCTTTCAGCCACACAAGTCACCCGGACGTCCGGCCGCGTGTGTTCGGCCTTCGCCCCGCCATACTCCCGCGCGACCTCGCAGACCAAACCGTCAAGCGGCGAGCTTTCGAGGCGAGGCAGCGGCCGGCAGAGAGCTCCGTGGCACGAAGTGCGAGAAAGTGATGACCGTCCCATGGTACCTGGAATGGAAATCTAGCCATCGGAAGCCAGTTGGAAACTGCTGGGCAAACCTCTCAACTTGGACTGTGCGGCACGGTTTCTGCAGCGCAGTTCTGTTCAGCGCCAGCATGTATCGCCAGACCTGCAAAGGACAGGTGCCACAAATTGCTGCGAGGAAATATCCCAAACTCTCAGAAAGAAAATTATGTGAGCATCCATCTTCATCTATGCAATGTATAAGTCTTGTTCACAAGCTGTGAAGGTGTGACGCACTAAGCTTCTTGGGTAGGTCGGGGAGAAAAACAAGGTGGTCAGCAACCAATCTCCAGCCTGATGCATGGGATCCATCGGCCACTTGGCATGCCTCCGGGCACCGCGCCACAGCGTGACAGTGGGGCAGTCGCAAAAATATCTCAACAGCCGAGGCCCCCACTTGTCATGCTGGAACTGTGGGTCTGGATACCTTTATACTTTGCGTCGGGAGAAAAACATAGCCACCGGTGGAAGCAACAAGTGGTGAGCAGGTCCCGATTCCTCTCACAATTGCAGCACAGCGGCGGGTCTGCAACGTCGAATTCTGGATTGTACCAGGAAAACATTGGAACCACGTAGACTCCTGAAACGTATCAAAGTCGCGAGCCAAGGATTCTTGCCGGTACTCCATGATACTCCCGCTCTGCACCCTGCCTTCTGAGACTGCAGCCGGCATGACATCCACGCCAAGCCGGTCGCAAAGCTGGCGGATCGCGCGTGCCAGGCCATGAGCCAGTGCCAAGTCTTCAAACCCTCGAGGCCTCCAGGATCGCCCAAAGCTTACAAAGGGAATCTGGAAACCTGGGCGGACAATCATGTGATGCACCATTCAGCGCGGAAAAAAAGGACCTTTTGATAGCGCGGCACATCTGCGATTCCAATGGAGTAATCCACATCTCGTTGTTGCCAGGTGTGTAGAAAATGCGCCGGAATTTTGGCCGTAGGGCTGTCCTCACAGACAGAAATAACATTTGCCCAAACCGGTTCTGCTCCTGCAAACACAGCAACAGGACGAAACGGATTAGGCAGCCCACAGTGCTCGTTCCAGCGCCCTAAGCGAGTCCGCAACGTTCCCGGTGAGGATCAAGACATCATCCAGGAACTTGGTCGCGTGAATGCCGTGCACCCATGATTCATTGGAAGCGTGGCCAAAGCGAAGCTCTGAGAGAAGGTAGACCCGACTGCTGCCCTTCGGCCTACAAGTATCCCGCCAAAATCGTCTAGACCGCGAGTTGGCAGCTGAAGATTGCCATCTTGGAATGAGTTGCAAGCACGCTTGCCTGCCCTTGCTGGCTGCCTGGTTTCTCTCCTCCACTTTGAGTGCTGCTGCAAATGCCACATATGCCTTCTCATTTTCTCTACATCCCAGCAAGGCAACTCCCAGGCGCGTGTGCGCTTTGGGGTAGGTTTGCTCTTCTGCTATGGCTCTCTCGGCATCCAAGGTGGCCTGTGTCCAGCGGCCAGCTCGGGCCAATGCAGCCGATCTGTTGGAGAGCAAAATGCATCTAAGAAGGCTGTAGCCGTCTTTGGCGTCCGACTGCGGCGGAATGGCCGCCAGCGCTTCCGTGAAGCAGGCGATGGCCCCGTGCCAGTCCCTTGCGCGCATGGCCTCGTTGCCGTTCTCCTTGTTGGCGCCTTGCCCGCCCAGGCGGCACATTGCCTCCAGACCCTCCAGGTGCGATGCGCAGGGCTCGAGCTGCACGGCCCGTCGCCAGGCCTCGCACGCCTCGGACACGGAGGAAGCAGACGCAGCGGCGCCCACGCGGCTCCAGGCCCGAGCCCAGGTGGGGCACAACTCCGCCGCCCGGCGCCCGTCCTGCAGCGCAGCCTCAAAGTGTCGCAGCCGCAGGAAGCACAGCGCGCGGTTCGACAGGGCAGTGGCCAAGTCCTTGTGACACTCGGGAAGGTCGCCGTTGACAGCATGCCGGTCACCCTCATCTGGAAACAAAGAAGAGGCTGTGAAAGGCGGCAAACCGTAACAGCTTGCTTCCTTTGTGTAGTAGTGCTGGGCTTGGTAGTAGTCGCCGCGCTTGAAAGCGCCTGTGGCGAGCCGCTTCCAAAGCCACGGGGGCTGCGCATCACTCGAATCGCTCTCTGGCATGTCCTGCGCCTTCGCCTTGGCCTTCGCCTCCAACTCCAGCTGCCTGCGCGAGGCCTCGCGGGCCGCCTTCTGGCACCGGCGCTGCTCGCGCAGCTCGCGGCGGATGGCCGCAGCTGCCTCCTCGAGCTCGTCGAGGATGTCCAAGTCATCGAAGTCCACGTCGCCCCCCGCGCGCTCCACAAGACGCTGTCTGGCCAATTGGATCACCTCCGCGGCCTCAGCCCCATTCTCCTCGTCGCTCGACTCGCCGTCCGCTTCCGCTTCCGGGCCCTGCCCTGAGGTCACAGACACCCCGGTAGTTGACTGGTATTCAGCCACGGCTGGCTGCGCCAGCAGCTGGCGAGGCAGCAGCTGCCGAGCTTGTGCCAGAAAGACGATGGGCCCCTGCTTCAGGAGCGGCATCAAAGAGTGTCTCAAGCGCATCCACTCCTCTCTGCCGGCCTGCCATGCTCAGAGCGGTCGAGCATCACGGAAGCAAGTGTCTAAACCCGGCACGTGCACGCGCTTAGCGCCAGTCGGGCAGCAAACAGCGACCTGGAAGCTGTGCTGTCAAGGCCAAGGAGTCACACTCCAGGCAGTACCAAGCTCCAGACTGCAAAAACTGGCGTGGGCTGCAAATGATCTGTCAGGGTCGGATGTGCACATAGAGCGTGCATGCTGCTTGAGGGCAACCGAGTCTGCAAGTTCTAGAACAAAGCTTGCTTTACCACCAAGTGAGCTCGCCAAATTAGGCAAACCAAAGGGCCTGGGTGCTGGCAATGCTCTTGCCCTAGGTTCGAGTAGAAATGCCTCAGTCAGCAACACAAAATTAGTTGCATGCACCAGAAATCCAGGACAAGTTCGATCATATCATCCTTACAAGCTGCAGGAAGCAGGTCGGCTTGGTGACTAACTGCATTGGCCTCAGCCAACTTGGAATGGGATGCTCGCGGCATATTTCGTGGCGTTGACTTGGGCTATGGCTCAGCAAAGAGTGGCCGTAGCTTCAGTAAGCACTCCGCAGACAGCCGCGCACGGTGCTCTGCTCTTCGCAGCATCAAAGGATGCGCCGCCGCACCAAAAGGCCCGGCTCTCTTCCGTGAAGTGGATGCTTGTGAGGCCCCATGGAGCAAAAACTTCCGCAGGCAGCTTCTCTCCTCCTCCTGCTCGCGCTGTCGCCTTGCTCGGGTCTCCTGGAAATCGACGGCCTCCTCCTCCGGCTCGGTCTCAGAGCCGGGGTCCGGCAGCGCCTGGGCCCAGCTGGGCGGCCCAAGCGCGTTGCGGATCAGGAAGTCCTCCATCTCCTCCCGCGGCAGCTTCCGGCGCCGCGGGATCCACGGCGACAGCGGGCGCCGGGCGCGGAACCCCAGCTGAGCCAGGCGGCCCTGCAGCACCTCCGCGTCCACCTCCTCCCGCAGCACCCAAAGCGCCCGCTCCGTGGCCGCCCAAAGACCCTCTAACGTCGGCGCGTAGCCGCACAACAAGGCGCTGTGACCTCTCCAAACTTCAAACCCAACTGCTTTGAATTCTGGAAGGCAACGACTGAGTCTTCCAAGCTCCCAAGCTACTGAGTCTTCCACTGGCCGGCTCCCAGAGCTTGCGCAAGAGCCCTTCATGTCTTGCAGTGCCGGCCTCAGCTGAAGGATTGACCCATGCACAGTTGGAGTTGTGCAGCAACCAAGCGGCGGCTTGCAAGCAGCTGCTGAGGCCCTGCACGTGTCTCAAGGCGCCCCAAATATCAACTTGCTCTCATGACGCCTCAGAAAAGCTCTCCGTGCCAGCAAAAGCAGTCACGGCCGCCAGCAGGTCACGGGAGCGCCGGGGAGCCATGGGCACCTACCCCGTCTCGCCAGGGCTCAAGCAATGTGACACAAACCCGCCTCGGCAACTCGCAGTGCCTCAGCACAAAGACTCCTTGAGCTAGTCACATCCCGTCCCACATGTTTGATTTCATCTTCCCTTCTGGCAGGCATCCTCTAGTGAGGCTACGGGACACCTTCTCACACCTTCTGGGCTCTGGGCAGTGCAGTCAAGAAGAACCTCCTCCTCCAGGGAGGAGAGCTCTTGCTTTTCCTCCGAGCGCCTCTGCAAACCAGCACGGCAACAACGGAAAGCGACAGCCAGCATGTGTCATGTATATTCCATGAACTTGGAGCATTTAGGGCAAAGCTGCCGTTTGCGTACCGTTCTGTTTGGATTTGTTGTGCGTTCATCGGCTAGGACCAGCTGCCTTTCTTTTTGGGACGTTGCATGTGGGTGTATTTTACATGCATTGGCTATGCATTGTTGGGCGTACTTCATGCATGCACGAGGCATGCAAAATCGCTACTGCGTTTGCTTACATTTTGCACCTATACTGCATTGACTTTGGAGCATTGTGGGCAAAGATTACGCATGCAAAATGCGTGCTGTCTTCTTGTGTGCCTTTTGTGTGCATTTTGGCATGCCGTTCTGCTTGGATTTTTTGTGCTTACCTTGGGTAGGACATGTTGCCTTTCTTGTTGGGACGTTGTATGCAAGTGTATTTTGCATGCATTGGGTATGCACATTTGGGTATACATTATGCATGCCTAATTCTGTGTGCATTTGGCATGCAGTTCTGTCTCGATTGTTTGCAACAGGTGCTGTATTGTTGTGTGCATTTTGTGCTTGCTTGCATTTTGCATGTATATTGCATGAGGTTTGGAGCATTTTGGGCAAAGACTGCGCATGAAGAAAGGTCTTGCTCTGTGCCGTTTGTGTGCATTTTGGCACGCCGTTCTATTTGAATTGTTGCATGCATTCGGCAGAACATGTTCCCTATATATATATATTGCATGCATCGGTTATGCATTTTTGGGCATACTTCATGCATGCACAAGGCATGCAAACTGTTTTGTTGTGCTTGCTTCCATTTTGCAGGCAGTTAGTAAGAATTTTGCAGCAATTGGGCAAACGCTTTGCATGCACAAGGCATGCAAACTGCATTGTTCTGCTTGCTTGCATTTTGCATGCATGTAGCATGAATTGTGCAGCATGTCGGGCAAACACTATGCGTGCAAAAAGCATGCAACTTGCGTGCTGTATTGTTCTGGGCCTTTTTTGTGTATCTTTTGTGTGCAATGCATACTGTGCGCTGTTTTGTTCTGTGCCTTCTGTGTGCATTTTGACATGCAGTTCTGTTTGGAGTTCCTTTCCTGCACTGGTCATGATGTGTTGCCTTCTTTTTAGGGGATGTTGTATTCTGGGAAACCAGAGTGACTGAATCATTGCCTCAATGGCAATGATGTATGAGCCATGCATGCGAAACAACATAAATGCAAAATGATAGCCAACACAAGAACGCAAGCGTATTCCCCCAAGCAAGCACAACACAGCAAACACGTCATCACCAGCATACCTAGCATCACCGGCAGCATTAGAAACGGAAACAAGCGCTCGCTGCCCCAAAACTGCTACAAGAAACAGAAATCCAAAAAAAAAACACCTAGAAATTGGGTTCACTCTAGCGTCCAGCTCGGACTTCCTTCCCCCCACCCCACCCCCCTCCTGAAGTACTGACACCACTCCAGCGACAAACTCGCTTTCCGTCATCAGGAGGCGCATGCAAAACAAAGCAGACATGCTGCAGATTCCTCCAGCCTCCTCAGCAAAACCGGCTGGTCTTCCGGCCACTGCAAAATATCTCGAATGGACTCTTGAAGGTCCTGATGAAATAGCGGCCAGCTGCACAATGCAAAGATCAGCACATCTCTAAAAAACATGCTTGTCACCAGTGCAATCTTCTTGAACTCTCCTCCACTGTCGCTGGTGTCCTGACCTCAGAAAATGATAAGTTGGCCGTGAAAGAAAGCAGACTGGCAGCGGGCAAAACCCGTGTCTGAGGCCCTCTCTCCAACAAAGAAGCTGATCTTCGTGTGGGTCCTCAAACACTTGGCTTCAGAGTGCGTTCCTTCCTCATGTTGAGCTAAAGAGCGTATGGACCTTCACCACGAGGGTTTCGTGGCCTTGGTGCCGGCGTGCCAAGCGCGTGGCTTAGAAGCGCCACGGGAAATACGGGGGCCTCGGCCTTTGAGGTTCCGGCTCCCGGGTCTCGAAACCCGCGCAGCAAAATGGAGCTGGCCTCGAACTTTGGATTTCATGGCCAGTGACCCAAAGCCCAAGGCCTTTCTCGCCGATTCCTTCTCCTTCTATTGACACCTCAGGCATCGGGGTCATGAGTGCGAATTGCGAAAGGCAGTCCCAAGGCACCTTCAAGAGGGAAGTGGAGGATGCCGCCTGCCAGGCTGCCAGCCAACTTTGCAGTGATTCAGGCTCACATTTACCCACGCACCAAGACGCACATGCACGAGGCCCGCCTGGGAGTAGAGCGGATTCTGCCCCCACAAGAAAACACTTCGCCCGTCTACAGTATTGACCTCATGCGATGCACGGTCCTGTTTGCGTTGAAAGACTTAAGCATCTCAACTGACATTCGTGGCCAGCTGACACATCATGACATGTCCTAGGGTTGGACATGTCTCAGCCCTGAGCAGCTGCGCTCAAGACAGGCTGTAAGTGAGCCTCGATTGAAGGTGGCATCTTTGTGCACTTCAACGCTTGACTGAATCTTCCTACGCTTGATCCAACTTAAAAGTGGCCAATTCTGACCGCCTGCATTATTGGGCAGAGCAGCCTAAGTCCTAAGGTGGGGGGGGCGCACTTCGATCAAACAGCTTGAATTTTCGCTCGCGCTGCAGCAGTTGCAGCTGGGTGGCATCGGGTCGTAATCTCAACTCCTTCGTCACGTAGAGGTCGCTGCCGCGACGCTCGAGCGCCTCAACAAAACTTGCTGGCCTTGAATGCAGCAAATGACACTCTGAAAGGTAGCTTGTTCCATGTTCAGATCCAACTGTCGTGTTCCACGGCCTTGTGAGGCTTGGACTTCAGAACGAAGCGCAACATGTCCGTCTGCGTTTGCAGGTGCATATCGCCGCCCTTCATCTTGATTTCCTAGCCATCGCCAATGACCACTGATGATGATTAGTCGCTGACTCTGCCAAGCCAGTCAACATCTACTTCACACCGTCCCATCAACGGGCTATGCCAGAATGTGCTTGCCATACAATCTGAGAAAGCAGCCCAACATTCTTCAGCGCCTGGCGAACAGTGCAATCGTCCGACAATCGTAAGAGTTGACCGGTTGGACTGACTGCCAAGTCGGTGGAAAGATTGATGCAATACTGGACTGCTCCTAGACAAAATTTGAAACTGCGCCTATTCCTCGAATTAGGTCAAGATCGCACGAGCTGAAAGCTATGGTTCAATGTTGATTGAAGCCAGCCAACCTTATTCTGCTGGGGGACACTCCCCGTGATACTGATCGATGGGAGAAGCGTTCGACGTGTGCTTTCTGTTCTCTCAGGTTTTTGCTGAGCAGATAAGCAAACCGGCGCCACCCTTGGGCACATCTATCCGAAACTGCTTGTCTTCATAGAACTCTTGGAAGTCCCGAATGACCCGTCGGTTCCTGGAGCCGATACCAGCGGTGCCGATATACGCCATCAACATTTGTCCATACTAACGCTGATTTGCTCCTGACTACTCGTTTGGCGCCGCCGTAGAAGAACTTCTCCAGCTTGCAGAAAACCTGCCCCGAATTGCCCAACGCAATTAGACTGCCAGTAGTCTGACGCCACTAAAATCTTCGGACACCCACACGCTCAGGAGAGAGTTCTAGGAGCACAAGTGATCTGCTTCCCCGCATGTGCTGCGCACCTCGACATCAATCTCCTGCCCTGGCGGCTTGTAGTGCCTCAGCGCTTGGAACTTGATGCCTTGCGGATCGAAGGATCACAGGGTACTTGGCTACAAAAATTTTGTCGGGGAGCCTTTACACATCATTTAGGTGTGGATTCATATATATATATATATACATATATTATATTTGTATGCTCAGGCCCCCCCCCATGAACTACATTTTGGGTGCTATTGCAATGTCTCAAGAGCAATATTCCTACTTATCTGAAGGGCAACTATTCTGCTTATCTGGATCCGAAGGGCAATGTCTCAAGGTCAATAATTCTATTTACCTGCGCTCTGCTTGTCTGAAGGGGAATGATTCACTCCATTTGGATACATACGGGTTGTGTGTGAATATTGGAGTAGCCCACAGAAGTCAAACTGACTTGAGATTAAGCTGCCCCTTTTCATTTCCAATCATCACGACAGCTCTCGTGTCTGGCGAAGTGTCTCCAAGTGAGCTCAAGGAAGTGGTGCAAAGGTTGGCCTTCTGCTCCCTCTAAGCATTTTAGGCCTCTTGTTCAGCTGCTTGTAAGACTTCTTATAGAGCTCCTCATAAAGCATTTTAAACAGCTCCCTTTAAAGGTCCTTACACGACTCCTTATGAAGCTTTTTCTAAGGCTCCTTATAAGGCCCCTTGTGCAATTCCTTGCACAGATGCTTGTAAAGCTCCTTATAAGACTCCTTGAAAAGCTTATAAGGATCCTGATAGAGCTCCTTTTAAAGCTCCTGACAAAGCTCCTTATACTCCTTGCAAAGCTCTCCTGATACAAAGCTCCCTATAAAGCTCCTTACACGATTCCTTATGAAGTTTTTTTAAGGCTCCTTACACAAATGCTTGTAAAGCTCCTTATAAGGCTCCTTGAAAGGCTGCTTATAAGGATCCTTATAAGGCTCCTTTTAAAGCTCCTGACAAAGCTCCTTCTACTCCTTGAAAAGCTGCTTACAAGGCTCCTTATGCAGTTCCTGGTAAAGCTCCTTGTAAGCTTCCTTCAAGGGTCCTTGTAAGGCTCCTTATGCCAAATTGGATTATGATTGAAGTTTAATTAGAATTTACATGGATTGTTAACAGCAAACAATTCTATTACATTCTTTATTTTAATGATAATGTAAAAGGAAAGTCCTTTCGACATTAAATCGAAATTGATTAGTAGAATAGACATAGAGTTCAATAAGGAAAGAGTTCCATTGTACTTTGTATTTTCAATTAGAATCTGAAAAGGCATCCTTTCAATGAAAAGAGCTTAACCAGGGACTATGTTAGTTACAAAGCAAATGTGACTCATGTTTAATGAGATTTGAATAGATATATGATTAGAAGTCTGATAGAATTGAAGAAGGGCATAATTGAATTTGAATGTCTACGTCGATTTTAAGTATGATGTCCTTTCCATATTCTGAGGAGAATCTTGGGTTTGGCTCAAATTGTTGTTTTTGTGGTTTTCAAGTTGTTTTTTGCTTTTTGTTGGTCTTCGAGTTTGCTTGTTTTTTTTAGATAATTAAAAACCTAACGTTTTTTGGGGCTTTGGCCCTCAAACCCCAAAAAAACTCGAGGAAAACCAAATAAACCAAAAAATACTCGAGAAAACGAAAACCGAAATAACCCAAATTCTGAGAAGAATCTTGGGTTTGGCTCATTTTTGTTTTTTCTTGGTTTTCTCGAGGGTGTTTTTCCTCGAGTGTTAAAACAAAAAAAAAAACAAAAAAAAAAAAAAAAACTCTTTGGTTTTCTGGGCACCTCCACTCGGAAAACCAAAAAGCCTTGGTTTTTTGGGTTTCTGCTAACAAAAAACAAGAACAGAAAAACGTGGAAAAAAGGAACCTCGAGAAAACCAAAAAAAATGAGCCAAACCCAAGATTATCCTCAGTTGCTTTTTATGTTTTGGTTTTCTCGAGGTTGTTTTGGTTTTTTGGTTGTCCTTTAGTGTTTTTTGGGCTTTAGCGCTAAAACTACAAACGCCTTGGGTTTGTGTCCCACCCACTTGGAAAACCAAAAAGCCTTGTTTTGTGGTGTTCTAACTAAGAAAAAACAAAAACCAAAAACAGACTCGAGGAAACCAAAAAAATCCTCCGGAAACAAAAACAAATGAGCCAAACCCAAGATTATCCTCAGATGTTTGTTGGTGTTCTCAAGTTGCTTTTCCAGTTTGTCTTTTGGCTTTGTCTAAAAAACAATGTTCACAGCTTGGAAATTACTTGAAAATGCTAAAAACCGATGCTTGTTTTACCACTCCTAGTGGTAGCATCTGAAAAGCGTTTAAAAAAAATTGGATTGTTTTGCTATTTCTCATATTTTGAACTATGTATATACATGTGTATGTATGTTCACACACCGCCACCCCCCCCACCCCTCTTGAACTACCTCTCCACATTTGCTCATCTACTACCTGCGCCTTTTGAGATAGAATGGATTGTGTTTTCCTGTGCAAATAGAACTTTAAATACAACTGATTCAGCTAGAATCCCTGTTTCGAAATAGTCTTAGATTTTGAACCTCTCTTCCCTTGAAATTTCCTTTTGGAACACCGTCTAACAAGTTTAATCTCGGACCTTTCTTAATGCAAAAGGGCCAGGATGTAAATAACACAAATCGTATTTCGAATTTCCTTGTAGAAGTCCCCTAAATGTTTAGCCATATTTGAAATGAACTAAATTTGAGAAGTAGTCTCTATTTAATTGTTATTATGACAAGCTAATTGAGTTGTGTTCGTATTAGACTATATCTAACACTTAGACTATATTTGGGAATAAACTCCTAACTTATGTTTGTTAAAGATTAGTTGGAGTTTGCCCGAAACTATACGTATATTCTCATGTAGCTCCTATTTGGAAAGGATTTGCTTATATAAGCTGTAGTTGAGCAATGTTGAGCATAAACACATTTTTGAAAACTATATCCTAACCAAAATATATTCAAAATTACAATTCTAGTTGAAGTAAAATCCTACTTAAAAAGGGTATCATATTGGGACATTTCGGATCTTGCCATAAGGGACTGCAAGCCCATTCGTCTGTGCTTGAAATCTATTGCAACAAATCTAAACTCTACAGACTGGGATACATATTTTCTGAGAGTTCATCAGTTGCAGGTGCAACCAGCAGGGCAGGGCAGTTGCGTGGAAAATTTGACTTTATATTGCGTTGCTTTAGGGTTTGGGGTCTTGTTCGTAATACTTGTTGAAGCTATTTTCCGTAAGGAGTGGGGATTCAAGCCGCAAGTAGAACTGAAATCAAGCAAACCCTAGGCACCAGGGTTGGGGGGCGCACCATATAAAGGTAGTTCATGGGGGGGGACCTGACCATATATATATATATTATACATAATATGTTTATCCACCAACCACTTTTCAGGGGCTTCTCTGTCCAAACTCATGGCCATTTGCCAAAGGGCTCTTGGATCTTCTTCATCATCTCTGTTGCATCAAAGGGAGCGCGATCTTTCCGCTTCTGATAGCCATTCACCTCCCCGTGAATCGCCAAGGCACGATTTTCATGGCGAAGCTTCAGGATGGATTGATTCAGCAAGTGAAATGCAGTGGAGGGCTCACTCAGACAAACAAAGCCAGAACTCCACTGTGTTTCAGCATTTTGTTCAACACAGGCAACGCCTCTGGCTGCTGCCCGACATTGGGCCTGGCTGCCAGCTGTGGCGAAGTCCCGGTCCCGGTCGTACTGCCGCCTCGTGGCCTGGCCAAGCTCGCGAGCTCGCTCGCGAGCGCGGTGACGCGGAAGCAGCCGCCCTTTGACATGGCACGATGGCAATTTCGAGCTGAAAGATGGCAAGACCCCACGCGATGGGACGCTTTCAGGCCACACCCTGCAAGTGAATCCCCAGCCGCTCAAAGTCTGGCGCTCGAGCCCTGACGCGCCTGGCCGGATGTGTCGTGACGGCTAAAAGCCACTCAGCATATTCCGAGGCCCCCGCCGCTTGAAGTCTTCATAGCCAGGCCGTCGCGAACCGCTCCAGGTGGCTTCAGCGATGGCTGCACCTCGAGGCCAGGCCTCAGTGCAGGCTAGGTTCAGGCGCTTGGGCACAAAGGCGCGCTCCCCACCGGCCTTGAAGTCAAGGTCACCCAGCCCGCGACTGCACAAGAACAGCGAAAGGTCGTTTTGAAGGCAATGTGCAGCTGTGGCAAGAAACAAAGCTTCTTGCACCAGGCATCCCCTGCATGCCCTCCCTTGCCCGCCTGATAAACTCGCTCCACAGCTGGCCCTGACCTCCTAAGACATGTGCACCATGACCGTCCAGCTGCAGGTTGTACACCTTGTGCAGGTCCACGATGTCTTGCTGGGAGTCATAGGGGTCCGCGGGGCCTTGCGCGAAGTCCAGGTATGTGGCGCTGTGTGGGCACATCACCACAGGCAGGCCCAGCGCTTCTGCCAGGCGCAGCTTGGACGGCACGTTGTCCCAGTCCCGCCAAATCATCACCACGCTGTCACGCGGCAGCGGGACCCCGGTACTCAGGGCTTCATCCCAAACCACTCCCGCTCGACCCAGCTCGTTCGCCGTGTCGATGGCCTTCTTGGTGAACATGCCCGCAATCTCCCGGGTGGAATGCAAATGATTCCGATGCTCGTAGCTCCTCGCGCTTGCGGAACGGTCCCACTGAGTGGACGGCACTTCATCCCCGCCCACATGATAGTACTTTGAGTCCACCAGATCCGAAACCTCACGCACCAGGTCTGAGACGAAGCTGAAGGTCTTCTCGTTCGGGGCCATTACAAAGTTTGAGACGCCCCACGTCTTCATCACCTCTGCCTTCTCAAATACGGCGTCCTGGTTGCTGAACTCAGGATACGCAGCCAGAATGGCCTCGGCATGGCCGGGTAGGTCTGTCTCAGGCACCACCGTGATGTGCAAAGACCCGGCCAGTCGCATGATCTCTCGCACCTCCTCCTTCGTGTAGGAGCCACCATAACGTTGATGGTCCTGACGCCAGGCATTATGCCCCACCTGTGTTGAGTCTCGCCAAGAGCTTACTGATGTCAACTTGGGGTATTTGTCGATTGGGAGTCGGAAGCCTTGGTCATCTGACAAATGCCAGTGGAAGCGGTTCAGCTTGAAAATCGCCATGGTGCGCAGCAAATGCTTGACCTCATCGGCCGAGAAAAAGTGGCGACTAACATCCAGCATCAAGCCCCGCCACTCATGGGCCGGCGCATCCACCACATGCAACTCGGGAATGGAAACTGTGTTCTCATTCCAGTTGATCACCTGGCGCAGCGTCATCATTGCGTTGAAAAGCCCGTGGCTGGTGGCTGACTTGAGGCTGATCTTTCCGTCTGAGACATCCAGGCTGTAAGCCTCATTCTGTATGCCATCAGCTTTCACAGGCTCGGTCAGGAGCTCAATCACCAGGCTGGCACTGGATGTGGCAGATAGGTCAGCAAGATTCAAGACGTTCTGCTTCAAAGCTGCTTGATCTTCTTCGGTGCCTTGGAAATTCGTGCCCCAGCATCAAAAGGATGTCGAACCGAGGATGGTTTGGAGATACTAAGCTTCAAACTTCAAACAGTAACCCCAAACATCGACTGCCCTCACACAACAAGCACGCCTCCTTTGATGAGCACGGCCGAACCACGAGGCAGAGACAACGCGCCAGTCATGAAGACCACCGACTGTGGGGCAGGGACTATGCTGTGCTCCTGAGTCCTGCAGCTTGCTTCTCAAAGGCAGGTCGTTGACAGCGAGTCACAGCTCCTTTGCTCTTGGAGCCTCACATTCTCCGAGCTTTCCGCTGGCCTTAGACTTTCAATCCTTCGCATTGTAACCAACAACAGGAAGCAGGGAACGCCAAGCATTTGGAGTTGCATCTTTGAGGCACACCCGAACGCCAAGCTGGCGGAACAGTTTCCGACATCTCGAGCTCCTGGCAGAACATGTCCCCGCAGCTGGGCTATGCGAGCCTGGGTCTGCGGCTCAGTGTGAAAAAGAAGACTTGGGCATCAGCAGCTGCCAAGACACACGCCAGTTCGGCAGCCTGGGCATCACATGCCATCACAGTATCCAGGCTGTTTCCCCTGGAGTCTGCTAGTAAAGTAACTTCCTCAACAAAATTGTGAAGGCCACACATCACTAACACGCAAAAAAAAAAAAAGAGAAAAAAAAAAGAAGAAAAAAAAAGCCGAGCCGCACGGGATGCGGACGCGGGAAGGCATTATCCAGTGCCTTGGCACTTGGCTCCAGGACTCAATGGAATCTGTTCCACCAACCCATCTAAGCCTGTTAACGTTGTTCTGCACGTTCACCTTCAGTTGAATTACACTCATCCCGCGGCTGTTGGAAATAGAGACAGAGCAGGACCCCCGCTAGATGTGGGAAGCTCTGGGCACCTTAAAGTAAAATTCAGGTTGAGGACTCATTTAGCTGAGAGTACTTAGAGCCCAGTCAAGCCCTTTCAGCAACTCCTGGAATTTTACAAGTCGGAACATGAGAATATGAAGTGCACAGCCCTGGAGAGACTGTTCGAAGCCGGCAAGCGCTGCCCAGGTGCCAAATTTGCAATCCTCGGCAAAGCGCTTGAAAATGATACTGGAATTGATGACAGTGCCATTTACACCCCGATCTGTCCCTCCAACCATCCCTGACAGATTGTTGCAGGCATGCAGCCGATGTTTTTTGCCAGACCTGAGTGCAACTCTCGGCACACGTGAAGCCCGCATGCAAAATTGCAGGAACACGAGGGATACAAGCCCGCCACGCTAAGAAGAACTGCGCATGCTGCAGCAGCAAAAGCGTCGCCACAATCTGCAAAATGCATCATATGTACCAGGTTGCAACAATGGCCCATTCCAATCAAATGCTAAGAGAGAATGACCCTATCTATGCCTTCATTTCAAGCAGAGAATATGCCTCCCAGCATGTCCTGTTCACAATGCTGATGTACTGTCAAGCGCATGCACACTTCATTGTAGCTCTGTCCTGGGGGGACTAAAGGCAGCATGTGGGCATAGGTTGAGCCAAGGTGGCCACGAAGCATATGCCAAGACCACCAAAGCTTGCAAGCGCGGCAGTAGCTTGCAAGCAAACCCCAAGACAACTGCTGGCGAATCCTGCAATAACGTGAAACCAGTGCGCAACCGTGCCTGATCACCGAGCACCAAGTACGCGTTCCTGAGCAAACTGGAGTAGAAGCTAGAGGAGTTTGTACGCCGACTTGAGGACCGCTTGTTGTCAGCCATTGCGTGTTGCTGCTTGCTGCCAATCTGCGTGTTTTTGATAATGAGTTTAGAAAGTGCGCCTCCCCACAATCTCTCAAACCCACCAGGATCACGACACTCGTCAGAGCCACAACAATGGTACTTGCTTGAAGTCATTCTTGGGGCATTAACTGTCATGCTTAGACTTTTGCCCCTGTACACATCCTCTGTGCTGATTTCTGATGCAGGCGTAAGCTTGTTTTCTGACCCTTTTTGTACTCACAGTTGTGAGCTACCGCCTTTCTTCTAAGTCAATGATTGCCGTCCTGTTCTTGCAGAGGCTGGCCAGTGTTTTGGCAATCGGTTGCCAATCATTTGCCAGGCAGCTGAGCTCAGGGACTTCTGACTTTTGCATTTTGGGTGGTGAAGGGTGCATACTGGTGGGTGATGATTGCTTGGTGCTGGCAAAGGTTGCCATTTGGGTCGCCTGTGCGGGGCGCACGCAGTGTGAGGGTGCGTCTTGACATATTTGTGCGGATTAGACGTTGATTTACTGACCTGTGATGTGCTAATGAGCTGCAACGACTGCTTCAGATTGTACGCCTCAAATCTGAGGCGTGCTCTTAATCTCGATGAAGATGCTTGCTCGCTCTTCTTGCTCCTACAAATGACACTTATCGGCTCACGCCACGGTATCAACCGGCTCCTGAATTGCTGGGCTTGCTTCTTGCAAAACCTGTGAGGCAGTCCTCTTTTGTCAACCCAGCAGTCTTGTCAGGATGATACAGCAGCGAGAGCTTCTTGTACGCCTGCATGTAGCTGCGTTGAGTGAGTCCACCAAGCATTGAGCTCTCATGCTATGCTAATGACAATAATGGCAAAGCGCAACAAAAGGGAGGGCCTTTTTGATCTCTTCCAGAGGTGCGTACTCGTCCACTCCCAGCACCTGGCCCAGCATAAACTCCTAGAAGCATGGAACAGGTGCAGCCCATCGCAACCAACCAGCCCCGCCGTGTAGTAGTTGATGCCTTTGTCGTAGTCAAATGCCTTCCGTGCATGACTTAGCTGCTGCAGATACCACACTTGATGGCCTTGGCTGCCGTGAAGTCATCATCACAAGGCTGAAACTCCTGAAGAACAAGGCCTGTGGCCAGCGGACTCCCAAGCAGCAAGTTGGCTCCTTGTCTGTCTGCTTGCGCATCTTGTCGCGCTCACTCGAGAGTTGAGACCTCGTGCAGCGTGGCTTGCCACAGCAAGCAGGCAACTTCGTATTGCAGAACATTGCTAATGTAAACGGTCTTCTCTCATAAACTCTGCTAGCGTCATTGTTCATGTTTCCGGGTCTTCACATGTCCAGCCCAAACAGAACAGCCACATACACATAAAGTTCGGCCGCATGAGCATATATGTATATATATATATATATGTATAAATATCACACCCTTCCAAAGCGACAATGACAAAAACTAGTGCAATGTCGCAACTATTCAAGCAGGACACCATAGAAAAAAGTCCCCGCTCGCATCAACTTCGACCAATGACGCAGCCATGCTACATTTGGAAGAACACATACAAGGAAAGCACTGCAAAAACAGGCCACAGCTGTGGCAGTGTACCATAGACACAATAATACTCTGGTCGTGTATCTTCCATGGACTCTACCGAGGCCATCACGTGTATTCCTCTTGCTGCCGCGCCTGCAAGAGGAAAAAACTGTGAAGCTACCCTCCAAATCGGCGCAAGCAATTTCAGGCACTCGTATGGTCGTGTCGAGCCTTGATCATGAAAGGACTGGCTTCAAAGGCTTTGGCTTGCCTGAAGGGCGGCAGGTTCTGGATTACTTTTGCTCCCTTCCCGAATCCAAGCCAGGCACTCAGATGACATCTTGTGCCCTCCATGCTGGATGCCCTTCGTTGCCAACTCATTTTGCCTAAGGCATCATGAGGTTGCAAACACTCCAACTCCGTGCAGTCAAGCCTTAGGCAATGCAAACTAGCTTGAGATGTTCAGGCGGCAGGCCTGAAACTGTACGTACCATCAAAAAGTGTCACCTCAGCCCATGCAAAACAAAAGCAGCAAGCTGCCAGCCCCCCATACTAATGTCTGAGCCTTGCATTCATATGGCACCACCTTCAGCCCTCAATTTGAGGGTAGGACCGACATTGAAGGAACCTGATGACCCACTTGCAACAATGTCAAGGCTAGCTGGCACTGCCCTTGCCTGATGGCAGCTGCTACACCATGCTCATCGCTGCGCTGGGTATGTGGTGCCTTTGCAGCTGCTGCTTGAACAAGTTTTGTGCGTGTATGCATTCGCGAAGGTGTGCTCTGCTGTACCTTGCTTTCCGGATTGAAGAACCTGCAAATATATCATCCCAACATATATATATATATATATATACATATTAATGTGTATATATTCACATCTCAGGGAGCGTGTGTTTGCAACCTGTGGAACAAAGGTTAGACTGATGCCAGTATAAGCCAATGCTAGTATTTGAGCCGACCGTCAAAGAAAAATCGAACGCGGGACGATGCTTTGTTCATACCCAGGCCCAATTAATGCTTGACTGTCAACAATCAACTGTGCATGAGCCCGCTAAGTTCCTGTATATCCGCGTTGATATCAAGGTGAAAGCTTGCCGAGCAAATGAAATTGTCTGCTGCCCTCTGTTCAGCAGCTTAAGCTTGGCTGGCAACAAAACAAAGCGAGCGCATCTGCAGTCTGAACTGCGAGGCCGAGTCATAAATTCGGAAAACAAACCAATGGCTTCAAATTTTGGAACTCGCGAAGCGGGGCGGCTTGTGCGCCGCTATGGGTTGCGGCAACTTGCACCTGGTTGAATCCTTGGAAGTTTGGTGCGAGCCCTGGAAACTACACGCCAGGCGCTGAAGTGCTGGTCAGTCAAGGAACGGCACCACTGAACCCACCACAATGCGAATGTATCCAGCTGCACGCGGGACAAAAGCCCTGCAGCGTCCGTAGCTAAAAGCTTGTCAAGGAATAACCTCATCTACTGACAGGCCAGAACTACTTACAATCTGCGCAGGCGAAGCGCACTTTTTCTTGAGCTATATATGAGATGGTTAGCATGTCAAATACCTGCACATCGTGATGCATTCTATCGAGCAACACCCCCCGCTTTGCAAGGAGGGCTTGGCGCAGATGGCCTCAGGATTGGTTGCGAGGCACATGTGCAGGTCTTGCACAGAGTTCCAAACGAGCAAGAGCAAAGAGGACACACACACACACACACACCGCATTGTTGCTCGCACTGGTTGCCGACGTGGCAAACTCTGGCGCGAAACGCTGTCACGTCCGCAAGCGCTGCCAGTCGCACAGAGTTGTTCTCAGGGAGCCATGGGCCTGCTTTACAACAAACCGACGGCAAGGCAGCAATTGCGCAGAAAGGAGAAACCCGCTGGCGGGCCCGAGGTCGCTCCTGCCGCTCTAAGGCGTGTCGAGGAAGTGAGCCGACAGGACAAGGCCCGTAAACGTACACCCTCCATCATCAACCTGAAGCGGGGTGACCTTTTCTCCAACCTCCTCTTGGGCGCACTCCGCCGCAAGCGCAGCGCGATGGGCGCCTGCCCAGCTGCACAACGGCGCTCAATGGATCAGGGCCCAGCATCACGCCAAACCCGGCAAGAAGCGGGGAAATTCCGTCGAGGCATCTGTACACGTCCTTGGCTTGAGACTGATCGGAAGACGTACATCACACGCGCTGGAAAGTTTCTTCCTCAGAGTCTCAACGTCACTGGATTGTTTCACCAGAATACCTGACTCTTCCCAAATCTGGGTTGTCCCCGAGCTCCATGAGCAAGCGTTGGCATGCCTTCTCTCAGCTTCTGCTGCAGCCAACTGACGTGTTGCCTCGTTGGCTTGCTGCTCCGGACCATAGATTCACATCTGCGGTCGTTGAAATGTTTCAGAGCCTCTAGATACAATCGACCTTGTTCCTCAGTGTGACTGGGCCGGCGTTGGGTCCGGCCTGCGCAAGGTTCACAATCTGGTTGGCCGGTAGCACTGACGAACGCAAGTTGCGTGTTTGGAGTGTGGAGATTTGGAGTCACCACACGAGCTACTTCCGTAAACATGCAGTCACCACGTAAGCACGGAAGACACGCAGCCCCAACTCTCCCTGACACGGCTCGTTTGTTTGTTTGACGCTCTCTCGGTCACTCCGGATGCCATTCCATCGAGAGGTTCCCCTGCGCATGCCATATCAACCGAGCAGACGAAAAGAAGGGTACAAGCCGCCAAAACAGCTAAACCATCGTGCCTTCTGCTTCCCTTCTGGTGCCACGATTTGGTCCGATGTTGAATGTTGGATTTTCGAGGGTCTAAAGGCACACACACACACACACAATAATGGCTGCTGAGTACATGTAAGGCGTTGGGCTGGAGCTGTCGCCATGTGTGAGCTGTCGGGTGTAATGGTGAAAATGGAATCAACCATGCCAAAAGGGATGGGTGCTATGCTTGGGCTACAGGAAATGGTATTGTGCTGGCGGTTCAGTGTCTCCGACATCTATGTCAAACGTTAATCATCAAGCTAAAACTAAACATGACGGCCGTTACTCCCAATACCTAAGAGTTGCCTTCCGCTGGCACCATACTTTCCCTTGCACTCGTATTTCAGCACTTTTCAACTGTCTCTTTGAATCGCTGGTCCTGTAATCAGCGCAAAGCAATGCAACACAGCCACACATCAAGGTAGCTCCAGCCCAACACCTAACACACGCTCCGTGCTCAATCGCACATTTGCACACCGGCACACATTTCAATCACTGTGGCTTTCAGATGGCATTGCACGTCGTCGTGATCTGTGTCTATTGCCATCTTTCATTAATATCTGATTCACACCCAAACACCAGCAGTAGCTCAAACATGTGCAGTTTGCTGACAGCTCACTATGCTGCTATTCTGGCGTTGCCCACACAGTGCTATCACCAGGAGTCCTTTGTCCTCAATGTCGACTTACCAATGCACTTTTCACAGCTCAGATTGCAGACAATACGAATCCGCGGCATCAAGGTTGCAACCATTTCGCGACGAAGCATGCCTCCTGTTGCGCAATTCATAAACACAACACCCTCAACCGCTGATCGCACTGAAACCTGGTGGGCGTGCTCAGTTTCTTTTGTGTTCACCCCTAACACCTACAACTCAGGCCCAAGACCGAACGCATACTGGGCACTTGCCATACATTATCACTCACTCAGCCGCATTCTAACATCTAAGCCGGCTCAAAATGTCTTTGCCTACATGTTTGCTGTCAAATGCCAATCCCCACCCCATCAGATCCGAAACCCTAAGCAAAGACCTGGTCCATTGTGTTCGAACGGCCCTGTTTTGTTTTTGCTCTGTGCTGCATCCTGTACTTGGTACCTCACCTTCCATGCGAACCACACGCAAGTTCTGTCGCCGTCAATTTGGCTAGCCGTGGCACTTCAAGAACCTTCTTGCGTGTGCATTTCGGGTTCGCTTGCGCGAGCGCCAGGTGAATTCGTCCGACAGTCGCGGCACTTTGGGAGAGCATGGGTGGATCACTTGCCGTGCGGCAGGCGAGCACAGCTTTGTTCTTGGGCGCTTTCTTATGTGCGCCATGTTCCGTTGCCACGTTGTGTGGCCAGATCACTTGGGTGGGCGTGCTATGTTTTGGGGGTGGTCATAAACAGGTTGAGGTTGGCGGGCAAGGAAGGGCGGGGGTGGGGTGGGGGGGGGGTTAAAAGCACACGCGCAGACACATGCCAAATGGATTGTTGGGCTGGCGGGTGGCAAAAGGGGGGGAGGATGGGACGAGCTCGAAAGGAACTGTTGGACTGGGCGGCACGCGCAAAAGGAGTTGCTGGGTAGGCATGCTCAAAGTAACCCATCAGACATGTGGGAACACACGCAAGCAACACACGCGCAACGCAGCTGCAGCAAAGTGGACAATGTCATGTGATCTGGCTGCAGTGCACCTGCAGATTGCTGTGCTTCAAACAAAATGTTTGATTTCAACTTGTCGAATTGCTTTCTCAGAACATAAAGTATAAACAACAAAGAGCACACACAAGCGAACCTGGGGAGCACTCACAAGCGAACCCGAAGAGCACTCACAAGCGACCCTTCAACCTCTCAATTGCGCATGTTCTTGGACGTCCAGCAGGTCCTGACTTGAACATCTTGCCCAGATCGTGCCATCCCAACCCATCTCCACATCCACCGTGTGCATTGCCATGCAACGTTCTTTTGTGCAATGAGTTCAGCATCTTGATTCGGATCGTAAACACTGAAGACCAGCCTTGCTCCAGCAAGTTCTGTAAACCCTGCTTTGCATCAGCGTCAGCGCAAGCTGAGGTAAGCCCGATGCAAAGTGGATCAACGTTCGCCTGTTTGGAGCCAAGGGCGGGGTCTCCACGTAGCTAAAGAACTCCTTTCCAACCTCGCTGGATGTCTCGAAGGAAGAGGTCGCAAGGGTTTCTGGGTCTTGTGTTTTTTCAACATGCTAAGTTCTGTAGGCAGTTGGTGCAGTGCGACGCTGTCAAGTAGAGTCTAACTGCAAAGGCCGGTTCAACGACGGGGTACTGTCCGCCTTTGTCGGCTTGGTCTCCAGCCTCGAATGTCCAAGTTGGGATTGAACCCAAGTTTCAATTGTGTCGTCTCGGCCGTACCTGCGTGGAGTTGATGCGATGTTGTCTACGGGATTCCTTGCCGCACTTAGCAGCAACTTTAAGGCTATGCAAAAAGTGTAGGCGTGAACTCCGACCAGCGCGGCAAAGCCTTTTTGCGTTGCCTGCACGGCGTGCAAATTACAGACCTCCAGGACATGGCATACTTCACGCATTTATAGAAGATCGCCACGCTTTCGCCTTGCCAAAAAGCGCAGAACGCAAATAACCTTTACCCTTGCTCTTATCGGCAGCTTGGGAACGACAAGGTGCGCCAAGGACTGCCCGCCAGGGCTTTGTGCAGCATTTCTGCTTGCCGCTCACAACAGCCTTTGTTCTGGAGAGGTCCAACGTGAAAACAGAGCCCATCTCAGCGTACACACGCCCGCAGCTCGTGCTGGGCCACAAAAACCACCAAACTGGGACGGGCGTCCGCCGCACAGCCGCTGCATCTATGCCGATCACGCGCGTCGGTTGCAATGCTGTCGACATACTGGCCGCATACA